TCACTACTGTTCTGGGTGCTAGAACTGTACAGGCTCTTGGTAAATGCATTGATGAGATTAATGACTGGATGTGCCTCAACTTTCTTCAGCTGAACAAAAACAAAACTGAGGTGATTGTTTTTGGAGCTAAAGAGAAACGACAGCAGGTTGTAACAGAACTTCAGTCCATACACCTAAAAACCACCAATCAGGCCAGAAATCTGGGTGTAGTGATGGACTCAGACTTAAACTTTGAAAAACACATCAAAGTAATCACTAAATCAGCCTACTATCACCTGAAGAACATGGAAAATCTGGAAAAACTAATCTGTGCATTCATCTTCAGTCGGCTTGACTACTATAACAGCGTCTTTACTGGTCTACCTAAAAAATCAGTTAAACAGCTGCAGCTCATTCAGAACTCTGCTGCCCGAGTTCTCACAAAGACCAGGAAAAGTGGACCACATTAGTCCAGTTCTCAGGTCTTTACACTGGCTGCCGGTCCATCAGAGAATAGACTTTAAAGTTCTGTTGCTGGTCTATAAAGCTCTGCATGGTTTAGACCCAAAATACATCAGTGACCTCTTGACCCAGTATGAACCTACTAGACCCCTCAGGTCATCCGGATCCGGCCTTTTATCAGTTCGCAGAGTCAGAACCAGACATGGAGAGGCTGCGTTCAGCTTCTATACTCCACATGTCTGGAACAAACTCCCAGAAAGTCTCAGATCAGCTGAAACACTTAGTTTATTTAAATCCAGGCTGAAGACCTACCTGTTCTCAGCTGCATTTACGTAGATTCTATTCAAAAGTTAAAATCCGCACGTCTCTGTATTCTCTCGTTTTAATCTTAAATGTTTTTAATTTTGAATCACGCTTTTAATTGTTTTTAATGGTTTTCTCTCCCTTTTGCTTATAATGTTTTATGTAAAGCACTTTGAATTGTTCTGTACATGAAATGTGCTATACAAATAAACTTGCCTAAACTTGCCTAAACATACGGTTTCTGAAATGTTTTGCGTCTGACACCTTTTGCATAATTTAATGGTAAAAACTTTGCTCAGAGGGCAGAAGACTACACAAAAAATAATCTTGACTTATCGCATAATAATAAATTATTAATATCAAAAATGTATTTCTGTTTTTTCTTTTTACATATTATGTTAAAAGGCCAAATAAGGACTTCAAACCCCAAGAAAAGTAATTTTCTCTTTTGTTTTATTCTTGGATGGGGCTTTAAAGGGTTAATATTAAAAAAACTTAAGATCAGATACCCCTAAATAATATTCAGAGAAACCTACTTTATTCAGCCGACATTAAATGCATTCCAACCGTGTTTTCATTTCTCCGAGTTTTAATAGATTAGATTAAAATCTGCTAATGACAAAAACAGAAACATTATTTCAATAATTATTATTACAATAATTCAATATTAATACACATCACGATATAGTTGTATCAAATATCAGTGATTTAATGTTTTAAGACATTTTCTGTGTTTCGAAAGATGTTTGCTTGGCAAATGGTAAAGGGTCTGTACTTATATAGCATTTCTCTTTTAAGTCAGGAGACTTGATTACAGCGTCTGTAAAACATTGTAAAACAAAACAAGCCGGCCTCCTGTCTGCGGCACTGTTTGCGGTCAGCTATAATTTGGGAGAGGTGCAGCGAAGCGTCTGCGGAGGGGGCGGGACGTCGACACTCTGGAGCAGAGGTATTGCATTGCACTCATTGCCCTGATTTTGTGCAGTATTTTTTGATGCAAGGCCTTTCAGAATCTATAACGCACGGGAATTATTATTTTTCAGCGAATGAGGTTTTCATAGGCCTTGATGGAGTACAACTTTTCTACTTCTGTTATTTGCTGTTGTTTCTCAAAAAAATGCAAAACGATATTACAGCTTTCATTGATTTATTTCAAAATTGAAACATTGTCTAGCCTGTAAGGTGTAAAAAAAACAAACAAAAAAGAACCAATTAATCGAATCGAATCGTATCGTGTACGTGTTCGTATTCTTGAGTATCAAAAATAATCGAATCGTTGGGTCACGAAATCGATACTGAATCAAATCACCATGATGGATCTGATTTACACCCCAAATAATAATAAGATTTAAGCATCTGATGAATGAAGTGTAAGTAGAAGAGCTGAGAATTATGCACAGCCTTTAAATGCAAGAGCAGAGTGGGAGCTTCTTAATATTACGGAATGTATGAATTGATTACTTTAATTACCCATTGGGATTTATTTTTTTCATTTAATAGTACTGAGCTAGCTAATGATTGTAAAGGTTCGGTTCACTCTAGGGAGAGTTAATGGTGTTGTCAACGTTCGCTGTGCCAAGGTAAAAAATAAATAAATAAAATAGGACTGGAATCAGTTTCGTTTTGCTGTAAAATTCAAAATAAAGCAAACATTTATCAGCAAACAGAAAAGCATTGATAAAGACTGGAGTAGGGGGTGTGTAGCATGAGAGACAGAAAGAAGGAGGGAAATCTTAACAGGATGATTTAAAAAGGTTAAAGTTTTATCAAAAGCTTGATGTCTCAGAACTGACAGAGAACGTTTAGTTTGTATTTCCAGAGCTAGATATAAATTGTTTGGTTAATTTTTTTAAGGGATGTTTCCATAAAGGCTTTCAGGCTGAGGCATGTTTGGGCTCTTCAACAAATTAAAGTTTTCTTTAATGTAAAAATAAAAGGGTAAATCAGAGAGAAACCATAAAAGAGACAAGATCCCTTGGAGTGAGAGATGAACGCCTCATTTGTTGATCAAATCTATTCAGCTTTTAGCTTCAAATGAAAATAGAGGTGTTTTTTTTTTTCTTTACTGCAATTATTTTATTGGTAGTGTTTCAAAGATGTGCCAAAATAATTTTACAGGTTTGCACAGCTAACTGCGGGTTGCTTTCTGAGGCTTTCATGCTGTTCATATAGATGTGAACTATATGGTATCACTAAGAAATATATCGCGATCCAGGTTTCAGCCGTTTGGTTCGGCGCCACTGTGCCTATTCTTTCTGTAGCAGGTATCAGGGATGATATGATGAAAGAATAAGGCTAAATATTGGTGATCCTGAAAGAAAACCTGCTAGAGGCTGAAAAACACTGAAGACTTGCACAAATGTTCAAAATCCTGCAGGAATGACAGCGGAAAAATAAAAGTTCAGAACATAACGACCGAAGTCCAGACCATACCTGAATTAAAAAAACATCCCAAGAGGGATTTGAAAATGAATACTTATCAAATCTGACAGGATTGGAGCTACTTTTCAAAGCACAAAAAGTAAAAGTCTGTAAAGCAGATCAAGAAATAACCATTTTATAGGACCACCTTTCACTGCAGCCATACATGCAGATTTTTGGGAGTTATCAGCCAAAAAGTCCAAAAGCATTAAAGCTATAGAGGACGATCTTTTATTTCCGGGTGGATCCTCTCAATAAGTGGCTCTCCTAATTGTCAATCATTCTGGTGATATGTTTACATAAGGCCGTCCTATGTACTCGTCCCGTTAGCGATCTTTTTCTGTGCATGTGCACTGTGGTGAGCTACGTTTTCAGGCAGTCATTGAAGCTCACCTTTCTCACAGTCATTTGAAAATGGCCAAGGGTTGTAAGAGAAAAAGTCTACGAAGTGTATGTGGAGAAAAGAAAGGCCTCACAAGAGGCAGATAGAATCCTAGAAAGCTTTGTGCGGTGAGCTCTCCTCGCAAGGCATTATGGGATTTGCTCTCACTGGGGCTCGCTGCAGCTACCCGACTGTGGCGACAAATAACAAAGATGCGAGGGAACCGTGCAGTGGACCAACGGGGAAGTGATCATCTGTCCGAACGGTCAGTTAACTGAGTTCGCTATAAAGTCCACTATATAGTGATTGAGGGATTTAGGGGTTAGGGCAGACGTGCGGACTCAGTTAGCCTGTATGAGCTATGAGAACAGCAACTTTTAAACAGAGCGTGCACAAGCCCATTTCTCCTTGTGCACGCTCTGTTTGCCCTGTCTGCCCTAACCCCTAAATCCCTCAATCACTATATAGTGGACTTTATAGCAAACTCGAATGTGCATTTTTCTTAAAGTGGAGAGGTCGGGTCTTTTAAAAAATTATACAAAATCCACCACAATACCTTTAAAGTTTGTGACAGTTACCTGATAAAATGAAAGGTTTTAGTTTAATTTTTCAAAGAACTTCACTTTGCCTGAACACAGACAGCTTATTAGCTACATTTTTCTTTCCTAATGTAAAGACATGAGGAAGAAACTCAAGTTTTTGTAAATTCTGCACCACAAAAGTAAAAGACGCAAAAAATTCTGGGTAATTCTTGGTTGGACTCACAGAAAGGAGTGGCCAATAAGGGAATGAAGATTTTCAGAAATTATAAAATAATTAAGTCTGTAAATATGATCAGATCAGTTCTTGTTTTAAGCACCGTCCTCTTACCACAGCCCTTATTGATGAACGTCGTAGCGATACCAGTCTTCCCCGATCGTCCAGTTCTTCCTATTCTGTGGACTGAAAACAAAAACATTTTGATAAAGTGGTCCAGACTCCACAATCTAATGTCACATAGAAAAAAAGGTCAGAAATATTTATCAGCTCATTTCCTCTCACCATAGTTTTCTATCTCCTCTGGCATGTCATAGTTCACAACATGCTGAATGGCTGGAAAGTCCAGACCCTTGGAGGCAACATCTGTGGCGACCAGGACGTCTTTCTTTCCTTCTTTAAATGCTTCTATGGCTTTAGTTCTTTCTTCCTGATCTGAAAAAAGAAAAATAAACTCATTAAACCTAATTTTAACACCTGTTTTTAAAGGACTCCTCCATAAAATATTTGCAAGCAGGGAGACCTCTGCTGGCGATAATGAGGAAGTACAAGATTTTAAAATATTATTTATTTAAACATCCCTTCTAAAACCGCTGTTTTAGAAGCTTTGCATACCTTTTCCTCCATGAATGGCGACCGCTTCCACTCCCTTCAGTAACAAATATTCATGGATGGCATCTACGTCTGCCTTTTTCTCAGCAAATATCAACACCTGCCAAAATAAACAGTGATCATCAAAATATTCACTTTTTTCTCCTGGACTCATAATCATAATAATTATTAGGTCTTTACAGGAGGCGGTGTTTTCTGAAGACACTCCAGCAGGTACACCATCTTGGCCTCTTCTTTTACATACTCTACTTCCTGCATTCAAATTAGAAACAAAGGGATGCAGTGAAAAACAAAGATTAACCTGAATTAAAATCAAGAGTTCTCATTGACAGAAACACATACCTGGATAACATCCAAGCTGGCAGCTCCGGCTCGGCCCACATTAATGGTGATTGGTTTGACCAGAGCGCTCTTGGCAAAGTTCTGGATCTTCTTGGGCATGGTAGCACTGAAAAGTAGGGTCTGCCTTTGTCCCTAGACCAGAGGGACACATCAGAAGGGCTGTTTTTAATTTACAAGCATCAACAGATGGAGTGCAGCAGCTGGAACACACACAACATGGCCAATTCTTGCTCCTTCTAAGGGCTTAAGGACTGTGGGAAAAACTAAAAGCACTGAGAAGTGCGAAATTTGAAGAAATATGCAGTAGCAACAGAAATGATGACATAACTCAGGAACAAAAAGAAAATCCACAGAACTGCAATTGAGAAAAATGCAGATGTTTCTGGATAAAAAAACAAAACAACTTAGACTTTGTAATTAAAAACATCCAATTAAGTCTGACAACAGCCCGACAATAAAAGCTGTGATATGTGTGGTGTTAAGCTAACACTCCAGATTCAGCTACTCCTTTCTTCCATGAAGACTTTTTCCTGGAACCATCATTCAGCTTTGCAGAAACTGGCATTGGGTGTCTTGGAGACGGGACACATCTAATGCTGCGTTGCATTTGTCCTTACAACCTTTCTACTTGTGTCTTAACTCAGAGTGAGTCGAATTACGAGTCAGTGCAACAGGATGGTACCCGCCTTCTGCATTCAAGATGAGTCCTACTCGCTTTAAAAGCAGTTAACCTTTCCTACTTTGATTCTGCAGCAGTTCTTTATCCTGTATGGAACATTAAGCCAGTTGTTCCAAGTACTACTTTCAATTCTTTGTATAAGTGCAAAATAGCGAGTTGAGAACCGTTATTGGGACGCTTTAACTGTTAAAATGGCTTTGATGGCCATCGAGAATAAGAAGGTTTGCAACTGGAACTCATCAACATTGGAGTTTACGTCACTAACTTACCAGTTATCCGTTCTGAGGATGAAGAGACACAGCCTAAGGCCCTGTCCAGATTAAGACTGGTTTGGGTGTTTACAACAAGCATCTTGATTGCTTAGAGGGTCCCCAGCGAAATCTCGCTTTGAGCTATTGGTGAATCCATATCCAGCCTTGCTTTGCTCCAATTGCTCTATTTACATCGAACAAAATGTGTCTTTTGAATCACAGACTAGTAATCCACTCAATTCAGTTTATATCTATAGCGCCAATTCATGACACATGTCATCTTAAGGCACTTTACAGAGGCAATGCAACCAGATCATACAGTCAAATTGGTTCAGTTTTCTAACTAAGGAAAACCAGTTGATTGCATCGACTCATTGACTTGAAGGCAATCCCTCACACTAAGCATGCTTGTAGCGACAGTGGAGGGGAAAATCTCCATTTTAACAGGAAGAAACCTCCAGCAGAACCAGGCTCAGTGTGAGCGGCCATCTGCTGAGGCCGACTGGGGTTCAAGGAGACATGAAAATCTTCACCAATAGGTATAACATGTAAATCACGACTCCGTTCGCAGCGCTGTTGAGAACAGACCTTTTCTCTGGAGATAACTTATCAGCCTTTGTGTGATGAAGCCAAAAGGCTGCAGGAGAGAAGACCTGAGCTTCCCACATAATGAGAAGTTTTTGGGTCTTTGTCGTCACCATAAAAAGGTCAAGTGATCTTTAATATTAGAGTAAAATTATATAGTATCTTTGTTTTATATCTTCAGCTTGTTTCTCTCATCCACTTTTCAGTAAAATATTAGGAGATTAGATGTAAGAGTGATAAGAGTTACATTAATTTCTAACTCCAGGTAACTTTTCAGACTATAATACGCTGAAGGGTAATATATTCTACAAATGTTTAATGATCAATTAAAGTAAAGGGAAAAAACGCATCTCTCAGATTGATTTTTTTATACACACAGTTTAACATTTCTAATCTACACTACAAGTTTCTCACCTTAAAATAAGAAAAAATTGTCCTGATGTCTTCCTCGAATCCCATGTCGATCATTCTGTCGGCTTCATCCAAGGCCAGGTAGCGGCATATGTCAAGACTGACCATCTTCTTTTGGAGCAGATCCATCAATCTTCCTGGGGTGGCCACCATCATGTGGACGCCACTGAAAAAAAGATGATGACATCATCCTTCCATCCTCTATTGAAACACAAGATGCTACTTTGCTTTCTGTCATGACACTTAGTGACCTAAGGTGATTAACTGAGCTGCTAATAGAAAGTCTTTCTTCAGTCTCTCTGTTCCTCTCAGAGTCGCCTCAACCAAACGGCTCGTTGACAGATTCTTCGCCCCTGAACAAGCCAATCAGTCTCACTTACTGCTTCACCACCTCCATCTGCTCTTTGACAGACATTCCTCCGATGCACAGAGCTGTGCGCAGCTGTGGCGCTCCTTCCTCTTCCAGCATCTTGCAGTAATACTCTATGATGCCGTGAGTCTGCCTCGCCAACTCTCGCTGGGAAAAAAAGAATTAAAAATGTGCAGATGTAGTTTAGTCAAGGTTTTTCCTAAACATTGCTTTGGTGGTTAAGGTTTAGAAACGAGAAGAGTGTGGGAATAATTACTGCTAGACTTGTAGAGGTGAATTGTAAATAAATTTCATTTTTGTGCATCTTGCTATTCGTTTTTTTTGTTTTCACACCACATGTTTTAAAGATTTCCAAGTTAAAATAAATGTTAAATACATTTACAACACTTATTGTTCCAGGACTAAATTAGCTTTTAGAAGTCGCTTTGTTTCAGAGAAACTATGTTGCTAAAAAAAACTTCTAAACCGGTGTGAACGTCCTGAAAAGTTCATGAAAAATGGTCCAACAATGAGCTGAAGGAAGCTGCAGCATTATTACCACAACTTTTGGCTAATTGAGTTTAAGCCTGAAATGATTCATTGGATTTATCGTTATTAGTGAAATAATCATCAACTAATTTAGTAATTGAATTATTTCCTAGACCTATGGAACAGACTCCAAAACAGGCCATTTGCTGAGAGATTGATTACTAACAGCAGGAAATAAGAAAACTCTACATATATAAACTATAAACATAAGATATATATATTTTTTTATTGAAGATAAAACTGTTACATATATATTTAAATTTTAAATATTTGTTTGTTTATAAATGTTAATGCGCTAAAAGTATCTTTTGTTAGATCGATTGATCTAGGTATGGCAGTCTGATTTAACACAGTAAAGGTGCAAAAAGTGAGATATTAATATTAAAGCACAGATTACTCCATTTACCATGATCATTCTTTAACTGCTGCAAAGTAAGTGTTTAAATTAATCCTAAGCATCAAAGAAAGTATCTTTAAGATCCTTAACAGTAGATGTGTGGTGTTTGTAGCCTCCGTCGTTCAGCACAGCATCGGGTAAAAACCATTGTCACTCAACATTTCTTGTTCATTGGCATCAGAGAGAAAAATTCTCCAAACACCACTTTTGCCTTTTCCAATTAAGAGGGTTGCAAAGGTTTCCATACTGGGCACTTTAGCAGAGTTCAAACACTT